GTCATAAAGTTCTTCAAGTTCAGCGACGGAAAATGTCCTCGGTGTGGATCCCGGTCGGCGTTCGGCTCCTCTACGGAAAAAAAGAGCCTTCAACCTGAGTCGTCCGGAGGGAAGAAGGAACCTTGAGCTAGTGATACTCGGTTGACGGTGAGAAGTCAAAGCGGTGCTATTCGGAATGGCTCGTACGATTCGGTTGTGTGTCATCCTAGGGATACTTCTGCCGGCTTTTTGTCAGATCGCGGATGGTAAGTCGACGACGCTTTTCGTTCGTATAATCACACGTTTCTCTCTTCACAATTATTTCCCTGATGAGCCTGCGAAAAATTCTCTTGAAAAAATATTCAACGAGAATGTCTTCCGCCCTCGTTCGCCTGCTCCTCCCCCCTCGTTATCGCCCAGCGTGACCGTAGGCTCGGCACGGTTCCATCCGCCTTACTGGTGATACTCATTTTGTCGGGTCGCTCCGTGTCTTCCGAGGGTCAACATAACTTCAGTTAATTAGAATTTTCGTCGCGGCGAGTCGAGTTGGCGGCGTGTTCTGAGATTTCTGCGGTCGGGATATCTTCTTCCCTGTGTCCGAAACACGCATGGCTTCAACATCCTTGAAGGGTTCGCTCTGTCCTCGGACGCGGAGTGTCTTCCCGCGCTTTTGAAGTTCTGCGACTGTCGCCTCTCGTCGGATCGATTGCTGGAATTCATATTTTCCAACGATCATCCTGCACTCAGCAAGCGGGTCACGGTATGTGTAATAAGGGTCATTTGCTTCAGCCCGGGTGCGACCGTAAACCCGTCCAACTGAGCGAGGACCTGCGCGACCATTAGCGTTTAAGTTTCTGGATCTTGATGGATGCTTGACGAAAGAACAGCGGGCCCTAAGTCGCGCAGAAGACACTGGCTCGGTCGCGAAAAACGTTCACATTAGTATTCCAGGACGGGCGAGTATGTTGAAAAAATTTCGAGCAGCGGATCTCGGGACGGACCTTCGTCCGCCCGCATGCTGATCAGCTTCTAGGCCTGCGAGAGGGGAATTCTGTTAAGGGGAATTATTTCGAGCACGCAATGATCTTTTGGGATTTCTGCGGGAAAAATCCGCTCGAAGCATTAGCTTAGCATATACCCTATAGAATTAGGTCCCCTGCGTTTGCGTTGGCGCAGCGGGTCACGAAGAACTCCGCAATGGTAATTGTCACGGAGGTCTACGCGGGTTCGAATATACACAAAAAAGCAAAAAGAAAATGCGTGCTTCCGCAGCTCGCGCGGACGGTTTGGCAGCGAAAAATAAGCACGCCCTCGATACGACGCATTTCGCGGCTAAAAGGACCGGTAGACAAGCGGCGAAGCATATGATAAGCGAAGACGGATTTCGTCGACAAGTTGCAAATTCTAGGGCAAGGAGAATACATTATACGTATGCGCTCCAGAATGTCACTCTAGTCGGTGCTTCGTCATCCCCTCCACCGCCGCTTTGGTGGTTTTTGCGGAATCCCTTCTGAGAAATCGTAAGCCCCGCGCACGATTCCGGCGGCGAAAAAACAAGCAACTTCACAGTGGGAACGGGGCTCCTGAGGGCTTCTGCCAAGGGAACGAATGCTCCGTAACCCTCCGATGAATCGCCTCCCACGAGTAGCGGTGTTCGCCGAATGTTATAAAATGCCCACTTGCTCCTCAAAATCTCCCGATGGAGATTCCGCAGTAAGGTTATGCTTCAGTCGGGACAAGAAGGAGAAGATCTGAGATGACTAAATGAGAGGATGACAAGAGGAAGAATATGTGAAGTCGGTTTCCCTTGAACTCGCAACAATAATAGATCCCCTCGTCGGATCCTGCGACGAGAGATGGGAGACCTTATCTCCATTGAGCGCAGGTATTTGCACGCAATATAGTGCGGTGCAGAAATGAATTTCGGAGCAGATTATTCAGAGGTACACCGCGTTGCCTTGAATATGAATTCGGTCACTCGGTGTTGCAGCGAGAGTCGGTCGGAACCTGCTCAACCGTGCGGCGATTTCGAAAGAAAAGCCGCTCCGAGGATCGCTCCAGAGATCGGACGAGCCTGAAACTCATTGGATTAAAAAAAACGTGCTTGATAATGTCGGTCCAGAGACAGCCTTCGCGGGGGAAAAAGAAACGCCGAGAGGACATTATTCCCTCTCTGGCCGTAACTCTTTCTTTTTAGGCAGAAATTTCAATGACGCGGTTCCTACATCCCTGAGAATATCTCGATTGTCCGTGCCTGACTCCTCCAACTCGACCGGCCTGACCATTCGAAACGATTTGCTTGGGCCTTCAGCAGCGACGGATGCGATCCTTCCCCGGCAGACGGACGGAAGGAAGTATCTTCTTGGAATTTCTAGAAGTGCTCCTCACCATCGGGCATTAAGCTCTCGTTCGATTGCCTCCTATTCGCTTAAGCTACCATTCGCGTCGCATTGAGCCCGCCCGATCGGCTAACACTCGAATGCCGCGGTGCTCGGAGAGGGCATCTTCCAATCATGCGGGGGAATCGAACAGTAGCTATCGTGGAACAAATTGATCACTCGAAGGCTCTTCAAGCCATACAGACTGATAATTAAATGTTCGATAACGATTGATGCCGAGGCTGAAACGGGCGCACCTGCACACGAAGCATGCTATATGGAATGAGTGTAACGATGTCGACGCTACGACTACGGAGAGGATTGTACCGACAGCGCCTTGTCATCGATAGACGAAGAGCGATGAAAGACCTCGTTGTGTTCATTCGCGTTCGCTTGGCAGACTTCTCGACTGCCGCTATCCGAAAACACGCAATCGCACAGCGATTTTCTTATTGGCGGGTGGGAATTGGTTTCCCCCTTGGAGTCAAATCCGGACGAAGGAATTTCACGGGATTCTGAGCGTCTCGGAGTGCGCGCCCAGACAACAAGGATGATGGGCCCTTCCGCCGTGCAAAGCCCCAAGATCAACATCGAGACGTCTTTGCCATGCTTTTTCGGTTTGATAGAGAAGAGGCGCGAGAAGAAAAAATCAGAATCTACAGCTGGTGCGCGGATCAATTCCGGAGATGCAGATTCGAGAGCGGGTCGAACGAGGAATCTTTCGCCCTTGGTGGAATGTTGCATATCGCGTCGGCAACGAAGCTTTGTCAAACGCCGTGGCCAATGAGCGAAAAGCTCCACGGAGTAGTCGAGGCTTCTTATTAGCGGCCGTCCGTCCGTTCGTCGGTGCGCCTGACTGCGTCGACTCTTGACCGATTTTACACTCTGTTAGAGCTGAAGATTTCAATTATTATTGAAGCGCGGTCGCTGATCAATCCGCACATTCCTCCAGGAATCGGGAAATAACTGAACTTCGCTTGTGTCCGGCGGGATATTGTTCCCATTCTGGATCAGAGTCCTCATCCGGTCGTATAGTTTTCATCGGTGACGAATAAATCGTGGCGAATCTCGTGTTCCTCTAACCTGGCATCGCAATCTATAGGACTCGGGAAAAAAATCCGCGGACTGCTCCAGATCGTAGGGCAGAGGCTTCACGGAGGCGTTTTCAATCCGATTCTCCGCGCATCACGCGATCTGACAACGAGAGCCATGAGCTGTCTTTCCTGATGCCTCTACGGAGTAGAGAAAGGCTTCAGGATAGAACAAGTTTGACGGGTCTTCAGGAGTCCACGGCTCCGAAGGCAGACACGAGCCGAGTCTCCACGATGGCCGAGCCGCAGGAAAAAGAAATCTTCGCACTTTTTCCCCGTTTCCCGGAGTTCCATGCTCTGGTCACTCGAAGCCTGGCGAGAACGCGAACGAAGCTGCGCTCGGGAACGAAAGTCGATGTACGTTCTGCTGAAGCACAAATCGCTCGACGTAGGTACGGGCGTAGGTACGTAAATTCTCAGCGTCGCGGGAGAAACGAGTCGATTGATATTCACGTCATTATTTGAAGACGTCAGCCCATTATCAATGCATCGTCCATCCAATGCAGGCATCGAACATGTCGTGGACGTAGTTCTCGTCAGCCGTACGCAAAGATCTCGAGTGCGGCAGCGGGCGGCGTGATGTCGGCGTCTTTCGCCTGCCACGCGTCGCGAGTCGGGCTCGCTCGGCGTGCTTCCTTGCTGTTTCTTCGGCCGCGATTAGGCGCGAAACAGACGAGCCTCAGAATAAGACTCGAGAGGTGTTATGAGCCCACTCCGGTAAACGGAACGAGAATTATACGGCTCCTACCGTCTATCTTGCTATCAGAACTGCGTCAAAACGCTCCGTTTAGCTGCGATATTCCGGAATGTGGCGATTTAAGCTCCGGGGTGTATCGAGCGAGTCTACGTAGAAGCGGCGAAGAAGCGGGCCGAGCCATATTGGGGAGGCTCCGGATCATCGGAAAAAATTGAATATTCGGTGGAGCTCGGCGTTGCCAAGATTCAATCAAAGCGACGTATTGAGCAGACTCCTCCTCGTCATCTCGACTGGATAGGACCCTCTGGATCATTCAATCGGGATCCGCTCAACCGAGCGCCGACCCTGCGAGGGAATTTCGACGGGAATAAGTGGAATGAGCAACTCGGGATTTCGCCGTGATTCCATAGCGGCCCGCCTCTTCTGTTCGTGGATCGTTTCTGCCCTTTTGACGCGGATTGCGTTTTGGACATCGAAGATGATCGTAGAACTGTCGATCGGACTCTCAAGCAGCGGGTCGACCCGTACAGGAGGTCGTTTTCATCTTGAAGTGCACCTTGACTCTGAATCTTTTCATGACGAGGAATTCGTTTTCGTCTTCTTGCGAACTGGACTCCCGATAAGAATCAGCGAACTGTCCCGAAAACTCTCTCGGGAAGGAACCTTGGAGGAAATACCGACGGAGAAGTCGCGGATTTTTTTCTCTGACTCTCTTGGAGGCGCTCTACCCAAAGCTCTGTAAGAGGAGCTGATCTTCTCGTGTCTCATCGATACGGCGGGGTACGAGAACCACTGCAACGATTTGGACATCAGGGGCTCCGAAGTCAGGGGAAAAAGCTTTTCCGGGGAAATGAGATGGGTACGTAGGTGGCGCAGTGTAAATAACAGCCGCACGAGACATCGGGAGGGGCGATTGTGTTGTGTACATCACTTTCGCCCCTCCCCCTGTCATTACACAAATTATACCTCTTTAGAACTTGAGCTGCAACGCATCATGGCCGACCGGCTCATTTTGCGCTGGCAAACAAGACCGAACGGACGAGCATGCTGGCGGACAAGCTGGCGGGCGGTCAAAAGAGAGTTGCAGGGAACGGTAGGAAATGAACGGACACTCAATTCACCCCACGTAGGTGCAAGTCCAGCCGGGTTCCGTTATAGGCAAAAAAAACAATCCCGTTAATGAATGAGTCACTTAAAATTTGAAAAATGTATGTGACCGTCAGGAGTCCTCTGAGGTTTGTAGCAGACAGTGTCCGGTTCAGCAACCGAGAAGTTTTGGATTTGCGCCGCGGGCTACGGCAGCTTCCGTGTCTTCAAAAGATGATTACTCGCTTTCAACAGCTGTGCGAAGAGAGCCCCGGCGAGATAATTCGCGCATGTCCCTCCGTTCGCTAGAGAACATTCCCAATGAGCTTCTCAGCTGTCGCGTCGCGACGTCGGCACCGCAACAATTCAAGCGTCGCGAGAATCGTTGTGGTCCGTAGTCGTCCTGCGGTCCTACCTGTACGTCGGCGCTAAGTTTTCCTGCGAGCTCGAGAGGAATTTCAAGAATGCTCTCCACTGGTCAGGTCTGCCTGCGAGGCAGGAACAAAAAATTCACAATTGCGCTCCCGATCAGACGTTGTCGAGATATGAGCGGCGTCCTGAACCGATACAGTCATCCCGCTGCCCGATTGAGTATAGGGGCCGTCGCGGCACACTTCTAAAGATCGACGTGAACCATCGTGAATCGTGAACATTTTCAGACACCCAGGTGCAGGAAGTCCCTTCTGCTACCAATAGGAGAGATTTTGAATTGAGACGGGCGCCGCTTTTCGGCTGGACACGGACGTCCAACCTGTTAAGTCATTGTGCACGAGTTCGCCGGCTCCTTACCGAATTAGCATAAGGCCCAGGAAGAGCGTACGGAATAGGCGTCGTTTCAATCCATGGTTCCCTCTTCGTTCGTTCCGTTAATTTTCTTCCTCCCGCAGACGAGATGGATCCGTCACCGGGGGACGGGGACGGAATGGACTGAGTGAAGAGTCACGGGAGACCTGAATGCGCTCCTAGCCAAGCGAATAACTTCACTCACCGAGCGAACACCTCGGGCTCGCAACACCTCCTCATGGGTATTTCGTTTTTTCTTGCAGCTCAACCACCAGAACAGGCTGTCTTCGCGTTGAACGGCGACCAAACGACGATACCATTCCACCTCAGAAGATATCCTGGCACCGTGGTCCGTGTTCGTCTATATCAGCGACAAGCTAATGTGAGTTCGAGTGGATCTGTTCGTCTGTCAGAGCGTTGAGCATCCATGCCACGTTTCCCACAGACGAATTGTCCGAAGTTCTCTCTGCGGAAACTTTCGAAACAATGTTTGGGAGGCGAAAGTGTATTGCATTCTGAGCAGCACAAAAAAGCTAGCTCACAGCAAGGAACACTCGCTGTTTCTCGCATGCTATGAGTTTCCGGGAAAGAAAGGGCTTCATTACGCGGCAGCGACAGCAAGGACAACACAGCTAGCTATAGGCGTGATATCAATCAATTTTTACCGTTTTTGCCTGATCCTCCAACGCCCCGAGCTGGATTAAAGGCCGGACCCAAAGGCTTGACTAGCGGAAATATTGGGGTTTTTGCACGTTGGGAGGACCACGATTTCAAGCCATTGCTTTTTTCAATACCAGGACTTATTGGCGGGGCGAACGTTGCGGGAGTGTTTTTCCTTCGGGTCTCATTCGACGGGCGAGTCACCGTGAGGACGGCGCGCCTTTCGACGAACCTCTCGGCAATAGACGACTCTCCCAACTCACGGTGTTACACGTCCTTCCATTTGCGGGACGACTACTGCGGATGGAGATGTGTCGCGTGATCAAGTCGGTGAGGCTCATGATTGAAGAGCCGGTCGGATGAGGACTCATTTTAAATTGCAGAGGCTGTTCTACGAGATCGATGGCAGTCGGAGATCAGACGGAATATACAAGGAAGGTTTCCACAATATCGATAAGGATTGGAGGAATCGGTCATATCTTTCTACGAGTCGAGAACCTGCCTTGCTGAAGGTGGGTCACGTCACCTTGTTCGATTCAGACACCTATGTCTGCAACGTGCAGTACGCGGGCTCCGAGGAAACTTTCAACGAGACCGTCCGCCTCATAGTGATGGGTACGTATCCGAGCTCACCAGAGCCCATCTCAGAACACGAATGTGGGTGTGATAGACATCTAGTCGAAACTCCGAGCTACACGAGCGATATTCGGGGCTGCCATTTTTAGAGGGGAGGTGACGTAAGTTTCTTCATCGGGTAGAGGAACACCGGACGAAAAAAAAACAAGGGGGGGAAGGGGGCGAGGGTGGCCTCCGGGAAGAGAATCCGAACAAATGGGGGCGAAATTCTTTGAGAGATAGCCGATAAGACGATGGCAACTGCAGCGCTCCTAACCTCTCTGACGTGTCTGTGCGTTCGTTTCTACTAACTAGGCCGTGTCCTGGGTCGGATTGTTTTTCTCACTGGTATTCGATTGTCTTGCAGCTCGAGCGGCCAATCCCTTCATCTATGTTAACACCCACCAGCAGCAGATGTTACCCATCTATAATCACAAAGTGGGACCATTCAACGAGACTGAAAGGGTCACACTTGTTTGTGAGGTCAAAGGAGGTGAGCCCGGCAAGGAACGACCACAGGAGCGAACTTGCGTCTTCCTCATTCCATCGACGCACAACTCGAGACCTTTATTTTTATCGCCGTGCACACTGAGCGCAGACGTGAGGACAGGGCAGGGCCGATTCCAAGCCTCGGCCTGATCTCTGATGATTCAGGGCCGGACCTCGTTAGTGGCCGGGGGCCCATGAGCCAATTATACATATATGTACATACGTCAAACGTCTGATCTCGTCAATCTCGTCCCGTTCCAGGCGTGCCGCGACACCGTGTTTACTGGGTGACCAAAATGTCTCAAAAACGGAAACCGTCCTTGAGGATATAACACGGGTACATCTACCGCTAATTGTTTCACGCGACTTGCTTCTACATCCTTTCGTGTGCGTTTCGGAGGCCGTGGACGGCTTCGTCGAGAATGTTACCGTAGTCGTTGACATTAACGGTGAGTATACCATTTGTTCCTAACCACCTATCCTCGACTCAGACCCCATCTGAGTTTAGCTCATGTAATAATTTGTCCTGGGTGAGGCTCGCTACAAGCAAAGTTGAAACTTTCAACATTTTGCTCCCTCGTCGGAGCCTACGGTCGACGAGTGTTCTCGAAAACGGTTGCTAAGAGTCGCCTGTCCGCCCCGTCTCTAGTTCCCGTTGATTCCGTTACGATCGCGACGAACCCTCGGAATATGACTGGCATCGTCGAAAACAAAGAAGCCGAATTCCACTGCAAAGCGACCGGTTCGAGACCTCCTGCACGGGCCGTATGGAGCATCGAGGGTGGACCTCCGCTCGAGCCGTTCTTCTACGAGGAAGTCGGGCGCAACCTCTCGACAACGTTCTCCGGTGAGTTTTTCCCCCTACGCTGAGGACATCGGAGGTATCGCTCGAGCGGCCAGCTAATGATTAGAGGCTCTTCATATTTAGCCAACGACAAAAGAATCGACAAGTGCGAGGAAAGTATATAGCGCCAAGCCGTGCGTGAGGATTTGCTTTTGTTGTCACTCTTCAGGAGGGTTTATATATTGTGCGGGAATGAGAAGGAGAGCGGCTTCGGGACGAGCGACTAGAAGCCAAGAAAAAGCTCACCCAAACAGCCAGTGGCTGGTGAAAGACGCCGGTAGCGACACAACAGATGAGGAAAGGGCCCGCCAAATGATCTATCGGCCGAAGTACAAAAAGAAATTTTTTCGAGCGACCTAGACTCGGTCCAGAAAGACGAGTTTGCTTGAGAACTCCCCGGCTTGCTTCGGAGGGCAGGACTCGGGTCGTACCGTCTCTTCCCAAGCCGAACGGAAAAAATGAGTCGACGTTTTCCGGTTCTCGGTAACGGAAATTTTGAGATTCCGCTCTCCTCCCAGTGCATACTGTGCTCCCGGCACAACATCCGCGATAGGCTCCCCTGAGTGGAATTCGAAGTGGAAACTACCAACCTATCCTTAAGGGACCGACAATATTCCTCATTCGGATTTGATTCCACAGTGCTCATGTTGCCGGGGAGGAAGATACTCGACGGTCGCTACTTGCGCTGCACAATCACGCACCCTGCATTCGGCTCTGTCATCAAGGAGTACCCGCTGAACGTTTTGTGTAAGGAGCCGAAATTGCTATCGATGTGCATTCCCCTCCGAAATAGCGGCGTATGCAGGATCGTAACTAATGGGAAAACCCCGCAGATGCGCCCCGAACGCGCCTCCGCTTGGGGAAAGGAGTACGGGACGCTCACGACATCCACGAAGGAAGTGATGTGTATTTCGAATGCGTTGTCGACTCCAAACCGAAGCCTTCGATGATATTTTGGTGAGTAATCTCTGATGCTCGGAACCGAACGCCACGGCGTCGAAGCTTATAGCCAGCACATACTGGTGACGATTTTTCTCAGTCCCGTTCTCGACCGCAGGTACCACAACGGTCGATTGATGGAAACAAAAGATATCCCGACGACGACAGCTGGAACTTATCTAATTCTCCAGAAAGTCAACGCAACACATTCGGGGAACTATGCCTGCCTTGCGACGAACGCGGTCGGTTCCACCGGCAGTGAGAATGTCAGCATCATCGTAAAATGTGAGTCTCCTTGAACGAATCTTGAGCGATTTTTTTCCTCTGGGAGAAACGTTTGGCGTTATTAGTGAGTTGATTTCCTCCGGACGACGCTAAAACCCGGTTTCGAGGATCAAAGCGAAAATAGAGGTTTAAAAAACGCGGGCGCCTCAGCCAACTCGGGCGAGAAATATCTCCATGGGAGCCGTGATTCCGAACGCCTGGGAAAATCCCATACCTGGCTCTTTGCATTCGATGGCCCGCGGATCTTATTCGACTTTATATACAGGGTGGTCATTTTTAGTCGGGACTTTTTTTCCCTCTGCTCGTCCCGGCCCTAACTTTTGAACGGCTGGATGAAACTATATGAAATAACCCACCAATCAACAGCTCTCGCCCTGACCGACACAATTCCGTCCCGAACGAGGACGATTTCGGCCAGTATCACCTGTTGCGGGCGTTTTGGAAATGATCGGTCACTTTTTTCTCGTCGCTCCACGAAAACGCCTCTTTCTCGGCGACCGCTTGGTCGATCGGGCTCAACCTGGTTGCGTTCGACGCGGGACAACCTGGCGGAGGTATGCCATAAAAAAAATCAGGTACCATGTTCCTGGGGGAAACGCGGAAGGGGTAAACTTTGGTTGGAAAATTGGACAAATTTACCAAAATTCCGGGTTGTCGCTAAACTCAGTCGATAACTCCTCAGGGAAGCCGAATTCGAAAATTTTCATGATGGCTAAAAGTGCTTAAAAAGGGCCAATTCACCCGATCTGGGGGTCAGCGGCTCGATCCGCCAACTTTTTTTTTCCTACGGAAATCGTCATCTCGAAATTCTCCTCGTGGAATGCGGAATACCGCTTGGGAGCGCTGATGTTGTGTTCAAGCGCGCTCCAGCCTCTCAGCATGCTTCCGAGCGATGGCGCTCTCGGATTTCCAACGGTCGGAATCCGCCGGCATCAGCCATTTTGAAAAGGGAAGAGCCGCGCGAGTCCTCTGTGCATCATTTCGCTGTCGAATTCGGGATCGCTGCAATCTGTGATACGCAACTGCCACAGCCGTGATCTCAGTGAATTCATTGTGTTCTCCGGACTCTCAAGTTGATATCTGCAAGATGGCTGAAGCCGGACCAAGCAGGAACCACCGTCGGGAAGAGATGATCTCCTGGGGCGTCTTACCTTCCACCAAACTGGCGAGGACCGCGTGGCGTTTCAACTCTTCCCTCACACTCTTCCTTTTTCAAAATGGCTGATTCCGGCGGATTCCGACCGTTGGAAATCCGAGAGCGCCATCGCTCGGAAGCATGCTGAGAGGCTGGAGCGCGCGCTTGAACACAACATCAGCGCTCCCAAGCGGTATTCCGCATTCTACGAGGAGAATTTCGAGATGACGATTTTCGTAGGAAAAAAAGTTGGCGGATCGAGCCGCTGACCCCCAGATCGGGTGAATTGGCCCTTTTTAAGCACTTTTAGCCATCATGAAAATTTTCGAATTCGGCTTCCCTGAGGAGTTATCGACAGAGTTTAGCGACAACCCGGAATTTTGGTAAATTTGTCCAATTTTCAAACCAAAGTTTACCCCTTCCGCGTTTCCCCCAGGAACATGGTACCTGAATTTTTTTTATGGCATACCTCCGCCAGGTTGTCCCGCGTCGAACGCAACCAGGTTGAGCCCGATCGACCAAGCGGTCGCCGAGAAAGAGGCGTTTTCGTGGAGCGACGAGAAAAAAGTGACCGATCATTTCCAAAACGCCCGCAACAGGTGATACTGGCCGAAATCGTCACCGCTGGGGACGGAATCGTGTCAGTCAGGGCGAGAGCTGTTGATTGGTGGGTTATTTCATATAGTTTCATCCAGCCGTTCAAAAGTTAGGGCCGGGACGAGCCGAGGGAAAAAAAGTCCCGACTAAAAATGACCACCCTGTATGCATCGCTCGGATAGGAGGCTGCCCCCGCACCCGAGTCAAGATTCGGCTTTATTCTCGCAGACGGAGGGCGAGTGAACAACGTGTCTATTCCAGATGCACCCCTTTGCGTCGGTCTGCATCACGAAGGCTGGAACGGTTACTCCGCAACGAATGTCACCGTATTCTGCACCTTGGATTCAAATCCGAGCGATATCGACTTCGACTGGTTTGTGCAAACAGGGTTGAAGAAGAGCGACAAAATCCGATGGAACTTTTCAATTGTGAACGAAACGACGAGTAGAGCAGTGATCGATCTCTCACGGTTCGAGCAACCGTCCGTTACGGTCGAGTGCGAGGGCAAGAACGACATCGGCCTTCAACGGCTTCCCTGTGTCCTCCAGCTGTCCAAAAGTAAGTACCGCAGAAACAAACCCCAGCTGCTCGCGATTCGTAGAAAGAAAAAAAACTTGACGCCGGTTCGGCTGAGGGCCAAACCGAAGTTCGCGTAGAACTACGGAGAATGCGCTCGTTTAGAATGAGTGGAGCACTCAAATGGATAATTTGGGCTCGCGTTTCGAGCGTGACTCTTTATCGAAACGAGAAAGTGAAGGATAGCAACGCCCGCGCGGTTTCACGATCGAAAAATGTCGGCTCTGATCATTCAACAATCCAGATACTAACGCTCAATTACCCGACTTAAGCGACTTAACTGTGTCCTCTCTCTTCTCTCGGACGCATTACTTAATCAGACCTATACGGCTTGCCGTTAATCTCGACTCATAATCTATCCCACAACCGGCAATTATTCACAAGCAACCTTCATTTCACCTCCCGATGTCTTCTTGAGATATTTTCTCGAAGAACGGGTCGTCGCGCCACCGGAGCTATCTGTAATTCTATGAGAGATATGAGTTCTATGTGCAGGTGTCGAACTCATACACGATATGCTCCGAGCTCCGAGAGAGAGCTGCGGGCGCATCCATTTTAGCAGACGTTTGTCGGCTAGTCTCGTCGGAGCAATCCGCCTTATTGAGAAGTCATCGCCGATGACATGGGTCATGATCCCGCCTCGCAATCTGAATCGTTTGTTCGACATATCAGATCCAAATTAAAAAAATAGGAGAGCCGTATCCACGATGTGTTCGAGTAAACTATAATTCATTGAGGAATGAATGATCATCCCCGCGCGTACCAAAAAATCAAGCCCACTGAGTCTCGTTTCTCCAACTCTGAGATTAATGGGTTTGATAGGTTGATTGAATTGATCAATGATGGGATTGACGAAGAGCTCCTCGGAATTGCTGCAAAATGAACAGGAGCCGCCATCGGCCGCCCCCGCCGGCAATTGTGTCCACTACTTTCCACTGAAAGTCGAAGTTCCCGTTTCGGGAACGAACGACATCGAGAATTTCGATTTCACCGAAAACCAAGTCGATTACCAGAATCCGCGCTGTCATTATATTGGACTGAGGGAATCTCCTTTGGTTCCTTCACCATTCATTCCTGTCAGCGCGGCTTCGAAGAGGAGCGGCCGCCGCTGTGGCGCACTGATTCCTGATTCCAATCGGTGCGGCTGTCAGAGAACAGCCGCGGCAGCGAACGCAGCGCGCAACACGACGAGCGCGGCTACAGGTCAAATAGATCCGCCTTAGAGCCTATATCTTTCCGCTTGCATAGAACTTCTGACGCGGTTGAGAGCAATGTTCTTGCTGTGCAGCATTCAAGTTTGGAATCCGTGACGAATTTCGTCTACAGGCAAACACTGAGCGCTCCACATCGTGGGGGGAGGTGTGGAACTTCTTTGGACTGGACCGCAGAAACAGAGATTGAGGTTTCGGAAAACTGCATGATTCCACAACAGAAGGGCTCGACCTTATGCCACCACTCAAAGGCGCTACACACTCGAAGACCCGTCAGTCATTGACCCGGCCTACCACGGAGCCAATGCAGCAGACCGTGGACGCCAAGCGCCATATGATCAATTTTGAATTTCTACTCCTCTTCGCGCTTCCGGTGCTCTCAGTGGGGGAGCTTTTGTGTGAAATGGGGGTGCGCAGAGAGTCACGTACATGGATGCCGAGCTTACTTCGTAGGTTTCCAACCTTGAGACAGTTTTCCCGGGTCTTCTGACGCCGATTCCTGTTCGACAAAAAACAGTCACTTCCGTAACACGAGATTTTCACGAATAGCCCCTCTTACGAGCGCAATGACGTAGTTCTACGTCAAAAAAGGGAAGAGGGGCGAGACGGAGACGGGAGGGGGGGCGGTGGCGAACTCAGGGCTGCTGGAAGAGAGATCACTTTCCTCATCGCCACTCAGCCAGCCAGCCACCCATCCACCTACCTAACCACCGACTCACCCATCAAGCAGAAAACGCGTGCTAGCTGGCACGTACTCAATCAGTCGCTTTAGCTCAGCAGCTACTTAGCATAGAGAAAAAGCGTACGCGCAACTTCGGAACCGGGGGAGAGGGACAGAAAGGAAATTCTCCGACAAGAAGCGTTGCATCAGCCCGCGAAGACACGCAGGGATCCACGGGACATCGAGGGAATGTCAAAAGTCGACCGTCTGAGCACGCGAGCGAGCGCGCGTGAGGGTGTCAAACTGTCCACGGATTGTGAGCGCTCCGCGCAAACAAGGAAGCGCGGCGGGGCTAGACCGACGGAAAATGCAGATGTTGAATAATTAAACCGGCTGGCTAACCGAATGGCGTTTTCGTCTTTCTCCCTCCTCAGGATACGATCTGTACGATGGCGAGCTGCGAGATTGTACCGTGTCGAGCCACGACGAAGTGATGTATTTCGACCGTCTCGTCGTGCAGTGCCGATTGCCAAGGACGCCACGGGCACCGAATCTCTACGTGATGGAAGTATACTCGGGCGACGACATGGCCCTCCTGCTCAATGTCAGCTCCGGTACTCCGCAGTTTATCATCGCTTCGAGGAGTCTCGGCTCCGCTGACCACTTGATATTGCTCATTTACTCCGTCAACACGAACACTTACGCTCGATCACAAAGGACCGTGCGCTTAGCCGTGCAGACCAATCCGCATACGGCGCCGCTGGCTTCGATGGGTGAGTAACGAGCAGGCTGTTCCTTCCGTGTGTGTGCGTGTTTGTGTGTGTGTGAGCGTGCGTATAAGTGTGCGCGTATTTGTGTGTAAGTCCGTAGTCGTAACGTTATTGTCGATCACGCGAGTCAGTAGGGCAAAACTTTCAACGATCACAGAACACGAGGAGGGCACGAGCGAGCTTCGTTTTTCCCGTTCGGGATGAGGGCCCGAAACAGACCGGATGTGTTCGGTAGTTGAGCGCGCGTAGTGCTCCATCTCTGGGAGAGATCTCCATCGGAGCCTGAGCCGCGACGATGGATCCTGTACATTCGTTCTCTATGTGATCTAGAGATGTGGCCGATTAACGACTCGGTTTCCTCCGGATTTCAGAGTCGGCCACGCCCGCTGCCTTCTCGACAGAGAGTCTAGTCTTGCTGATATGCGTATCGGCGTTGTTATCCATGGCTCTCAAATGACGTCTAAGTAACAGATGCAGTTCGAAGACGATGACGCCGAGGAGGATCCGTGCGTTCTCGTCCGGCAGAGGAGAGAAATATTTTCAGCAGAAGTTCGCGGCTACCGGGGAGGTGGACGCCGAGGAGTCGGAGCCCCACCTGACTCGGTTTGCGATGAACGATCAACTGAGTCTGAACGAACTTCCAGCTCGCTCGGTAGTCGATCTCCACGATGCCGACGGCGCGGTCGGCGAGGTGTACTTTCTCCGCGTCAACAGCGTCAACGAGATACCATCCAACGGGGACACGATAATCGCCGCGGCCACAGACCCTTACCTCGGGGAGAATCACATTCCAGACCCTCGTTGCAACATGTTGTGACGACACGGTACCGTCGGTTTGGGAGCCACCGCCACCATCGTCGCCGCCCCCGCGATCACGCGGTCCGCCAAGTGCGACATCGCTTCGGGTAACAACGACATCAACAATCAGGACTGCATCTGTTTCATCCAAGCGTCATTAGTGAGCGCTATCTTGTATTTTTCGTCAGGTCGCCGATGTTTTCCTCTGATGGTCGGCGGTTACTAGAGTAATAATAATTGTTCGTGTGTAAAGTGGACGAATGAACATACTGTGAATATTCGAAATGATCTATATTTTGTGATAATCGCTGAAAAGCACGAAGAACGTTGCTGGATTGGGACGAGAACATTTGTGTAGACGTTTGATCAATAAAGGGGTGTTTTTTCCACACGAGGCGTTTGTTGTCTCCTCGATGTGATTCGCGGGAACTCCATCGCTCGTATTCGATTGTCCTCGTCCCGGCATCAGTCATCGATCGAGGTGACTTCAAAGCGTGAGCGTGTAGTCGGAGCTCGGCGGCGAATCTGCTCTTTTGGGAATGATGACGACGCAACTAACTTTAGACGCATTGATAGCACTTTCCATCCTATGAGCTGCGGCGGACGTGATATCTTTCGGCAAAAAAAACGCTTTTGTTCGGCCGGGTCCTTTCGGAGTTAGCCGATACTAATCACTCTTTCTTCCGCTCTCTTCCTTTCGGTCGGTAATTCACAGCCATACGAGCTCTTCGGACATCTGAGTTCGCGGCAGCTCTGCACGACCCTCAATCAGGATCCAAAAAGCTGAATACGCTGAAGAAACTGATGGCTCGGGGGGGGGGAAACCAAGCTACCAACGGTATGAGCAGCAGACGAAGGGGGCCCAAACTAGCGCTCGGACACTCAGCGTCCCTAATGGGCAACCCTAACCCGGTTCGAAGATGTGGCGTTAAGCTCCTGCTTTTGGGTAAGGTCGCTCACTCGTGACCTTGGTCTTTTTTTCCGTCTCGCCATCAGAGCATTCGCAGATACAACGAGAGGCCGAGGTTGTTAACGCGTCCGAGCCCCCGATGCGAGAGGACGAGTATCAAAAATCCTACTACCTGGTCGGAAGCGCTTGACAAACATAATATGGCACGTCGGCGTCTTTCTATTTGATGATGATTCCACTAATCGACATCGCTGATGGACGGCGATGCTTTTCCAGAACTCCTCGCCTGTGTATATATGTAGTACCTAGCTACATGTCTCATGGGAGTCCCACAGGGAGATAAGCCGAGTAGATAATGAAGGGGGCAACTTCCACTGGGCAATCCCGTCGGACCGTTTGCTAGCGGGTTCTTCTGCTTCCTGGGGGGCCGACTCATCTGTGAGGCTATGAGCGCCTGGGACAACTTAATCGCATGAATGAATCGAGGGAGAGATACAGACGGAGTAAGCCACGTGGTGATCCGAACTATCATTCTAGTGTTGCGTTCGGTATCTTGCGGCTACTAGACTCAAGAGCCTCTCTCGGATGGAATAGCTCACTCGAGTCACGCACGGAAATTGCGCAACGTTCGAGCGATTTCCTGAGTATTCCGTCGGGAGTCTGAAGTGGTTGCCTGCTTCGAAACATAGCAGTCACGTCCTCTATCAGGAAACTAATACTTTGCCATGCGTGTGATCTTCGGATTTCCAATAATACATCGTGCTTAATCGGAAGCAGATTTTGTGCGCAACGAGCTTCAACTCGAGAATGTCCTTGCCGGACATTCATTCCCATCCGTAGCCGCGAAGCATCGTAAGACATGCATAAAATGAAAGGAATGCCGCAGAGGTACGGAATTTGCACGGTGAGTTTCTCTCCGGAGACTTCGGAATCGATGTGCATCATAGAGCTATTGATGCTTGGCCGGAAACTTCGAACATTCACCGAAGAAAGGGTACAGCCGAATAACGTGGCGATCCCGGCTACGATCTGTTTTGGAAAACTGACTAGATAGGGTGATAGCTCTCGGTTAGTAGAAGACTTTTTCACGAGTCTCCCAGAAATCGACGCGGCCAGTTTCGAGAAAAAGGTCAAAGTTCAAAAATCTTAAAATGCGATTTTCTCGGAAACGGTAAGAGCTAGAGGGTCGTGCTTGGTCTCGTTGGAAAGCTGGCGAAAAATGCCACAATTCTAGCCCGGTCCCATTTTCCTCAGTACTTTTCATCATCATTTTTTTCCGAATTTTAATTTTCTTCAAGCTCCCAGACACCGAAGACCTTCGTGAACATGGATGACACTATGTCACAAATAAACCCCGTAAACCCATGTACACGCACACCAAGTTTCATCAAAATCGGAATAGTCCAAATAGGTTCATTCGCGAACACTTCATTCCTACCACTGATTTCTATGGTTTTCGGTTAAACGCCCATTGCCGCTCCCAATCGCTATTCCCTGGTCTGACGCTGACCCAGGATCTCGCGGGACACATTTTAATCTTCCCGCGCATCGAGCAGACGCTGCGCGCCCTCCTTGGTACTACACTTCGATCGAATTGACCGGCGGGGATTTTTATTTTTGATTACGATGAGACTTAGGAGCATGACATAGATCCCGAATCAGTCTTCGTCACTATCTTCGTTAAGAACAGGAAGGGTAGCTCCATCCCGGAACAGCGACTCAAGAATCTCCGCAGGTCTGACAATTCGGGAGAGAGACGTTCTCCCTGTCGGATTCGGATTCTCAGCTCGCGCGCGAGAGGACTAGATCCAGACTGAGACATCAGAGTTCGTCAGACAGCTCTTCGGAGCAAGAGATTCTTTGGCTCTGATATTTGATGGAACGTATATTCGTCGCGGTAAAAGCGCAAACAACTCGTACCAGAGAAAATCGTACCCAGTGCAGAAGAAAGCGCCACTTTGTAAACCGTTTACCACCTGTACAACCACTGGATACGTCATCGACATGCTGGGACCCTACAACGCGAATGTCAACGATGCCAAAATCATGGTGGACGCGATGCGAGACCCGACTGGTCTAGGCGGTTTCTTGAGAGCGGGTGACATGTGTTTCGTGGATCGAGGCTTCCGGGATGTGAAGACTCAGCTAGAGGAACAGGGTCTCACTGTCTACATGCCGGCCTTAAAAGGTCATCGCAAACAATTGCCCACGGATGAGGCCAACGCTTCTCGATTCGTGACGAAAATTCGATGGGCGGTAGAAGCTGTACACGGTATAATCAAACAAAGATACAGACTCCTGGATCATCGAGTTGACAATGATCTGCTTCCGAAGATTGGAGTTCTAACAAGGATCGCTTGTTATTTGAACAACCGTTTCGGGAAGCGCCTCCAATCCGATCAGGGTATGTTCGATGAGGGGACGCATGCAGCAGATGCTACAAGTCCCGAATTCATTGGGTCAAGAAGCTGAAGTAAATGGATGGAACAGAGTGAGGCGGCCATGGTCAACCATTACCTCTGACTCGATTTCTGACTTCCCGATACTGACAGAGAAGGATCTCAAGATCCTATTCACTGGAACCTACCAGCTCTCCCAATCTGTGTCTTATCTGGCTGAACTGCTGAACGAGGACAACACGATCAACCTGAAGTTTCACCGGGACCAAACCAACATCCTCAAAGTAGAGGTCCGGTCGAGACATGTTGGGAGCAAGAGCTACAGGTGTTACATCGATTACTAGCCCGTAAACGCTAGGTTATGCGGGAATCAAACGACATTACTGCGAGTGCGCTAATGGCGCTCGGACAGTCGGCTGCTGCTCCCATGTAGCGTCCGTCGTGTACTATCTATCTTATGCGCGATATCTCTCCCGAATCGTCAGACCTGCGGAGATTCTTGAGTCGCTGTTCCGGGATGGAGCTACCCTTCCTGTTCTTAACGAAGATAGTGACGAAGACTGATTCGGGATCCATGTCATGCTCCTAAGTATCATCGTAATCAAAAATAAAAATACCCCGCCGGGTCCAATTCGATCGAAGTGTAGTACCAAGGAGGGCGCGCAGCGTCTGCTCGATGCGCGGGAAGATTAAAATGTGTCCCGCGAGATCCTGGGTCAGCGTCAGACCAGGGAATAGCGATTGGGAGCGGCAATGGGCGTTTACCGAAAAACCATAGAAATCAGTGGTAGGGAATGAAGTGTTCGCGAATGAACCTATTTGGACTATTCCGATTTTGATGAAACTTGGTGTGCGTGTACATGGGTTTACGGGGTTTATTTGTGACATAGTGTCATCCATGTTCACGAAGGTCTTCGGTGTCTGGGAGCTTGAAGAAAATTAAAATTCGGAAAAAAATGATGATGAAAAGTACTGAGGAAAATGGGACCGGGCTAGAATTGTGGCATTTTTCGCCAGCTTTCCAACGAGACCAAGCACGACCCTCTAGCTCTTACCGTTTCCGAGAAAATCGCATTTTAAGATTTTTGAACTTTGACCTTTTTCTCGAAACTGGCCGCGTCGATTTCTGGGAGACTCGTGAAAAAGTCTTCTACTAACCGAGAGCTATCACCCTATCTAGTCAGTTTTCCAAAACAGATCGTAGCCGGGATCGCCACGTTATTCGGCTGTACCCTTTCTTTTCCCCCGAGCCCTCCAGGGATCGCAAGATGCTGAGTGAGAGCAAGAGCTCGGAATCAGTGCTGGTCAGGAAATGGTTGACGATCCAACACTCGCCAAAGTGCGCAAAAT